ACCTTTTGGTTAGCTGCTGAGCTAATAACTGCTACTCCACCAGGGCTCCATATTTTCATTAAAACATTTGAAATAGATTTACATGCCAGGGGATAAAACTGCTTTCAGTTCATTTTTGTTGTTGTTAGGTGCCATCCAGTTGGTTCCAACTCATAGTGACCCTATGTAACAACAAAGCACTACCCAGTCCTGCGCCATCCTCACAGTCCTTGCTGTGTTGCAGCCACTGGGTCAGTCCATCTCATTGAGGATCTTCCTCTTTTTTCATGACCACCTACTTTACCAAGCTTGATGTCCTTCTCCAGGGTCTGGTCCCCCCGATAACGTGTCCAAAGTACGTGAGATGAAGTCTCGCCATCTTCACTTCTAAGGAGCTTTCTGGGTGTACTTCTTTCAAGACAGATTTGTTCATTCTTCCAGCAGTCCATGGTATATTCAGTATTCTTTGCCAACACCATAATTCAAAGACATTAATTCTTGTTTGGTCTTCCTTGTTCATTGCTGTCAGTCCATAGGTTCCAATTTTTAGTTTGGAAAATGTGGTCACTGTAAGTTAGATATATATGTTGCTCAAGAAAAAAAAAAGAAAAAATATACTTCCCTTCTACCCTAGCAATTTTTTTGTTAGATAAATATTTTGTATTTATATTATTAAACCTGTTGCTATCAAGTCGATTCTTACTCACAGTGACCCTATAGGACAGAGTAGAACTGCCCTATATGGTTTCCAGGGAGCAGCTGGTGGATTCAAACTGCCAATCTTTTGATTAGCAGCCGAGCTCTTAACCACTGAGCCACCAGGGCTCCATTTTTATGTAATAATTTTACATTATGCAATAAATTAGTTATTATGACTATGTAAATTCAGTATTCCATCAGAACCATTGTGCCACGTTTCTAATGATTTATTGTACATTTTTTTTGGTATATTTTTTATTTGCTGTAGTTTTCTGTATACTTATTACAAATTGGAAACTAATCCAGCTTTAAAAAACTACTCAATACAGATTAAAATATATACATATACACACACACAGTTCTTTGTTCTTATTGGAGCCATCACCTATTTTATATATATGTATACATGTATATGTTTATATATATATTTTTTGTTATTTCATGTTGAGTCGATTCTGACTTATGGTGACCCCGAGTGTGCAGAGTAGAACTGCATATGGATGTGATTAAAAAGACCAGGATTGACAATTTTCTATCAGAAAATTTCAAATAAAATGAAGTTAAAATGAATGGAAATATGAAAAGATGTGGCATTTCTTAATTTTATAATGGAATCTTTAAATCAATATAGCTTCACATCAACTAACCAGAACATTTAAAATAACTTTAGTTCTGATTCTTGTGATGGGCAATTCAAGAGAAAGTTTAAATGTTAAATATGTCTGTGAGTAATTTATAGTCTGTGGAATTGTTTTTAATTAATGCTGGTCACATGTTTCTCGGGAGACTTCTGTAGCTTTGGTAAAAGTTAACGTAGATGGTTTTTAAAATCAGGAGCTCCACAGACATGGATCAGCTTTTTGAGAAGGCTGTGATCGTTTCTTTTCTCAGTTAAGGTCATATGCAAGCCATGAAAGCTTGTCTGAGTTTAGAAAAGAGAAGATTACCAGGTAGCACTCTTTGCTCCTGTTACTTTTGGTTACAGTTTACCACTTGAAAAACTTTGTACTTATTAATTAGGTCATCACAGAAAAGATTTTAATGTTCAGAATTCAGTCTTGGAGACAGCACCTATTTAATGCAGTGTGGTCACTTTCTTGTCACTTGGCGGAGTGGGAATTGGGCTGTTCGGGCCAAGGGAATACTCCAGTTGGCGTATTTATTATTCCCCGCAGAAAAACGGAAATTTCAATGAACATGTTTTCCTCTTCAGTTTTTAATTCTCTTTATTTCTAATACCTGAGGGTTTCCCTTCTGTCTTCTAAGACCAGCTACGTATTTAATTTGGTTTGGTGATGGAGGGAAGTTATGTTTTATCTAGCATCTCTAGTAAAGTGTTTTTGTGTTAATCTGCTGTCTGGCTCTTGGGGCAAATGAAATACTCCAGTTACCTTATGTATGCAGTGAAACCAACAAGAACAAGAGCGGTTGTAATTCTTTAGAAATAGAAAAGATTGAAATAAATACTGTGTGCAATGTATATTTTCTCCAGCTCAACCTCTCCTCAGAAAAGAAGATGAGATACTACTTGCCAGTGGAATAATTTCAGAACAGAATTAGCTAGGTGGTCTTTGTGCTATAATATTTCATATTTGTTGCTCTTATAAATGCTACTGTGTGTTGTACTTATGTCTTTATGTACATGAGAGAGTTTTTCTAGGGGATGTGTCTGAAAGTAGAGTCCCTGAGTTACTGATATAGAACATCTTCAACTTTAGTAGATGTTGCCAAATATCTCTTCAAAATGATTCATCAATTTACATTCCCACCAATAGTGTAATAGAGTTCTCCTGATTACTGGTAAGATTGAGTATATTTTCATGTTTTTATTGGTAATTCTCTATGATTTTTTTCTATTACATTGCTTTACTATTGAGTTACTATTGAGTTTTAGGAGTTCTTTATGTATTCTGGATAATCATTTGTCGACAGTACATATCAGATACCTCTACCTAGTCTGTCCCCTTGTTTTTTCGTTTTGCTCATGGCATCTTTTATCATACAAAGATATTTAATTCTAACGTTGTCAAATCTCAGTTTTTCCCTTCAGGATTTGTGTTTTTCCCTTCAGGATTTGTGTTGTTTTAACTTCTCCATTACCCCAGTGTCAGAATTATTTTAAAGCTTCTTAGAAAATTTTCTAAAGTTTTAGTTTTTACTTTTAGACTTTAATCTATCTGGATTTTTTTTTTTTAAAATAATATAAGATAGCAATCTAATGTTATTGTTTACTTCTTTACTCATTTTTACTATTTTCTATGAATTTTAGAATCGTTTTGTTAAGATCCATGAGTAAATTAGAAGGGAGGAAGGTTGGAATTGTATTGAATTTATAGGTTACTTTGGAGAAAACAGACAATAATGTGAAATCTCCTCCTCCATGAACGCAAAGGTGAATTTCTTCATTTATTTCTCCATTTATGTTTTATTATTTTATCTATAGGTTTTTTGTTTTTTTTTTTTACATTTTTCATTAATTTTATTCCTGTGTGTCTGATAGTTTTGTTTACTTGTGGAGTTTTAAAAATACACTCTGTTTTACATATGTATATATATGTATATATATAAAATCATCTTTGTATTTTGAATAATTTGAAATCTACAGAACAGTTTAAAGAGTAGGACAATAAATACCTATACACCAGTCAGTTAGATCCACAAGTTGGCTACAGTTTGCCCTATTTGCTTTATTCCCAACGATACATCCAGGTTCACATTTAATATGCTGAGCCAAATGAGAGCAAGTTGCAGACTTCATGACACCTTATCCCTAAATACTTCAATTTGTGTCTCTTAAGGACATTGTTGTGTAAAACTTCAATACCGTTACCACATCCAAGAAATTTAATAATTGATACAGTATTAGTACATTTCAGTATTATAGTCTTTTGAATTGGATTTTTAAAATAATTACCTTTTCTAATTAGTATTACAAATGACTATGAATTTTTGGGTTACTGTGTGCAATAGTAATGAATTCATGTTCTAATAATTTGACCATATCTTCTTAGGAGCAGTGATAAACCCTTATTCATTGTAATAATCTGACTCTAGTTCTGTCTGACTTTTCTTTGTAGGTAGTCATGCTATCTACAAATAGCAACTTAGTATTTATTTTCTCTTATATAGCTTTTAATCAAATTAATTCTAGGAAAAGCAGGTTCTTCCAATTAATTTTAATGCCATTCTGTAAAAATGCCATAATGAACAGCATCTGACCTTTTGTAACTTCATGAGCCGGGAGGAGAATCAAGATCAACAGCCCAGGCCTGATTCCTGTGAGGTCAAATATACCTCCATCCTCCAGTCTTTTCACCAATTCTGACACCAGCCGTCCCTCCCATGGCACTTTCTACTTCTCTGCTGGGTTCGATAATCATAGTTTATTAGGAAAGTAACAGGTTACAATTCAGGATCAGGAACGATTCAGGATAGAGTTCTTCAGTCAGGACAGCCTCTTCTCAGCTATGCCCACAGACACGCCTTTCTCTGACCCTCTGACCCTTGGCCCCTGTTCTGCATGGGCAAGTGTTACAGAGCTCTTTAGCTCCACCAATAAGTGCTGGAGGGCACCCCATTCTGCCAGTTAGCCTTGGCCCGAAGGCGCACTCAGCTCCTTCACTCTGTGAGTCGGCAACCCTAGTTCTGCCATCAAGTGCCCAGAGGCACCCTACTCTGCCAGGAAGCCTCCTGCACGAAGACTCTCAGCTCTCTTACTCCATGGGTCAGCATACCAACTGTAGCTGCCTTGCTCCGTGGGCTGGGAAACCCACTGTGCCATTCTGCGCCGGTCTCCTGGTTCTGTTGCTGCCATTTCTCTGCCACTGCTTCTTGCCATCTTGTGCTGTCTCCAGTGTTACAGCTCTCTCTCTCTATCTCCTGAGTCTAAGAGGTTCTCAGAGTAGGGATCCTGGGTCCAGAGGATGCGCTCCACTCCTGTCTCTTGGTAGTAGTGAAGTCTCCCCCTTTCTGCCTCTGGGATGGCTCATTTTAAACCTAGCAGGATGGCAAAACTGACCAATCCCCTTATTAGGGTTCCATATACCTGATTTGCATGGTCCCAACTCCACAAGGGTGCCATGTACCTTATTTGCATTATTGGCAAGCTGTGCAGTCCCTTTGGTGGGTCACAGGCACCTTACTTCCACAGTCCCGTCCAGTCATTTGATGAGAGTTCTAAGACCATGGCTAGAAAGGCCATGTGAAAGCAATCCATCGCACTGCATGTTCTGATTACTTCATTTGATATGTATATATTCAAAGGCACATGTCTTAGCTAAGTTATAAAGTATGTGAAAATAACATACATTTTTATATTTCAGGAAAATTCACGAATCGTGAGGGTAAAAGTTATAGCTGGAATAGGCCTTGCCAAGAAGGATATCTTGGGAGCTAGGTAAGTATATATCAAATTGGGTTGTAATTCTAAAACTTTGTATTTGTTAATTAATTAAAAAAATTTTTTTTCCTAAACTTTGATTAAATAAAAAATCTAATGATATTATTAGCAAATTGTTGCACTAGGTGGAATTTCCAAGTTGGTGGTTTACTAAATTCCTTGATATCTGAGTTACTGAATTTGTGAAATTAGGCAAAGGGCACAAATCAGAGCGGTAGTTATCAGCTATGTTGTTGTGTGGATTTCCGGGAATGGGTGAATCCCAACTTGCCATCTCTCTAGTGGATAACAGCCATAAACTCTGGACACAATACAGAAACCCACAACTGGAGGCTGTGGCAGGTGAACAGAAGCAGACAGGTTATAGTGGGAGCCGCATTTGGAGGAGGGGCGTTGTACCGAGTGAGTTCCTGGGTTTATAAATTTTAGTCTGAGGCCACATACAGTCAGAATCTGGAAAAATTGTAGTCTTCCTAGCCTGGGGAACCGGAGGACTGAATCTGAGGAAAAACATGGCAATGAGTGAGAGGGGGGATTCTGGAAGGGAAAGCGCTAGAGAGATGATCCCCAAACTGTGTCCGCTGACTTGCTTGCTGGTCCTCAACCACATGTATGGATAGCAGATCAAAGCAGCTCAGCAAAAAACGGAAGATCTGAACAGAGATCAGAGTGGCTGCCCAAGAAACAGCGTTTGTGTTTCTTGTCCAAACAAGATGATTAATTACGTGCTACAATAAAAGAAAAAGCGCTATTGGAGTGAAGTAAGTCAGACACCAAAGGACACATATGATCCCAGTTAGATGAAATGTCTAGAGTAGGCAAATGCAGCACAGAGACAAAGTTTATTAGCGGTTGCCAGGGGTGGGGGGAGGGAGTTATAGCTGAAGGAGCACGGAGTTTCTGTTTGAGGTGATGAAAACTTTTGGAAGGAGGTTGTGATGATGGTAGCACAATACCATGAATGTAGTTAACGTCAGTAAATCGTGCACTTAAAAATAGTTAAAATGGCAATTGCTTTATATATATATTTTACCACAGTAAAAACGAAAATTTACTTATGAGAGAAAATAGCAGAATCCAGAGTCTCCACAACTTAACATTGATAATATCCAGGATATAACTCAAAATTACTTTAGCTATAAATATATAGAAAATGGAACACATTCTCAATACAGGACAGAAAAATATTCTCATGTTAATCAAAAGATAGGAAATCTTGAATGAAATAGAAACAATAAAAACTGAAAATTTCAGTATTGGAAATTAAAATTTTTGGGTGGACTTAACAGCAGAGTGGAGATGGATAGGAAAGCTTATTGAACTTACAGATCAATAGAAATTATTTCCCAATTGGAAAATGAGAGAGAAAAAAGATTGAAAAAAAAAAATTAACAGAGCCTCGGGGACTTGTTAGATAATATCAAATGGACTTAGATACACATGATCATAGTTCTAGAAGATGAAGAAAGAAAGACATTGAGGAAAAACATTTTTTGAAGAAATAGGGGCCCCATTTTCTCCGAATTTGATGAAAGAAATAATAATATCAAAAAACACCAAACAGTATAAACACTAGGAAGAACACACTGTGGCGCGTAATAGTCAAACTGCTGAAAGCCGAGTATCGTGAGGAAATCCTAACAGCAGGGGATTACCTGCAAGGGGAGTAACGGTCAGTGAGGAACTGACTTCTCACCAGATAATACGGGGCCGGAAGAAAGTGCGGCACTGTCTGTGGACGCTGAAAAAATAACAACTATTAATACAGAATTCTGTATTCAGTGAAAGTACCCTTCCAGAAAGATGGCAAAATAAACATATTTTCAGATAAAAAACTAAAAGCATTTGTCACTGGCAGACATGCATTATAAGAAATGCTACGGGAAGTGCTTCCAGCTGGAGACAGTCGATAACCTATTGCCAAACCCATTGCTATCGAGTTGATTCTGACTCATAGCAGCCCGATAGGACAGAGTAGAACTTCCCTATAGGGTTTCCAAGGCTGTAATCTTTATGGAAGCAGGCTGCCACATCTTTCTTCTGTGGAGCAGCTGGTGGATTTGAATGGCCAACCTTTTGGTTAGCAGCTGAGCGCTTAACCACTGCGACACCAGTGCTTCTCGAGACAGTTGATACCAAGTAGAAACTTGGATGCTCAGAAAGTAATAAAGAGCTTCAAAATGGTAAATATCTGGGAATATACCAAATATTTTTTGCTTTTTCATCATGACTTTTTTAATAAAATATATGCCTATTTAAATCACAGCTCATAAAATTGTAGGGTTTATACTGTGTGTAGATGGAATACATGTAACAACTATAACAGAGAGGACAGGGGTGGGTGTGGGTTATGGACCCATTTGGTAAACCCGTTACCAAAACCTGTTGCCGTCGAGTCGATTCCCACTCATAGCGACCCTATAGGACAGAGTAGAACTGCCCCGTAGAGTTTCCAAGGAGAGCCTTTGTGGATTTGGACTGTTGACCTTTTGGTCAGCAGCTGTAGCACTTAACCACTGTGCCACCAGGGTTTCCAGTTTGGTAAAGTGGAACAGTATTAAGTGTAAGTAGAATAAGGATTTAAGAATGCATATTGTATATCTAAATAAATCGCTAACAAATAAGGCAAACAATTATAGATAAAAAACAATAGAAATTTAAAAATGATGTTCTTAGAAAAATAAAATAATAAAAAGCCTAGGAAAGGAACAAATGATAAAAAAAGAAGAAAGAATAGAAAACAAATAATAAATTGGTAAACCTAAGTCCGCTCATTAATAATTACATTGAACATTAATGGCCTGAGGCAATTATGAGGCAGGAGTAAATGGATACAAATAGATATGCCATGTGTTACGGGTTGAATTGTGCCCCACCAAAATATTCCGGTTACGCTCTTATATAATGTAACCACATCTTGTCACCTTTGCCGTGTTCTGTTGGCTAGAACACATAGGTCCTGCCCACAGTTAAGGAGGTGGACACCTTCGGAGCTAACCTAGACTCTACCTGCCACAATACGATGGGCCCTAAAAGAGTAAATCAAACAACTACAACATACACATGCGTTTCAAGTGTTCATGGTACGTTCACCACCATTGACCGTGTGTGGGGCTTCTGTAAATTAACAAAAAAAGAAATTATATAGAGGATGTTCTCAGAAACGATGGAATTAAGTTAGAAACCAAAACATTAAGATACCTAGGAGAAAACCCCAAACATTTGGAAATGAAACACCCCACTTTTGGATAATCTATAGGTCATGGAAGAAATTACAAGAGAATTTAGAAACACGTTGAGCTGATAAAAAAATGAAAATACAGCAGTGTCAGAATTCGTGGGACGCAGCTAGAGCAGCACTTAGAAGCGTATATGTAGATCTTGGCTGTATGTTTACATTTATGTTTACATTGAGAGGATGTAGTTAGTTGTTAAGACCTTGGATGAGATTGTGTAGGGAAATGTAGAGAGAGCAGAGGCCAGGGACGGTACTCTGGTGAATACCGATATAATTGGCAAATGGTAGAGGAGGAACCCAAGAAAGAAACTGACACAACAGCTAGAAGAGTCCAAGGGGAATTGAAAGAGTATCATGAAAGCTAAATAAGATGAGTTTCAAATAGAAAACAATCAATAGTATCAAGTACAGTAGAGGGCCGGTAAAGTAAGTACCTGGAAAGTGTTGATTGTTTTCGCAGGACTGATGATTTTTCGAGAGTGTTTTCAGAGGAATGGCTCTGTAGGGAGGGAACGGATACCAGATGGCAGAGTTCTGAAGAGCAGTGGGAGCTGAGTGGGGGAAATGAAGAAAGGGAGGTGGTATGCTGTTGTGGTTAAGACCATGGGCTCTGGAGCCAGGCTGATGTGATTTCAGTCCTGGCTGTCTCACTTATTAGCTGTGTGATCTGCAATGAGCTGGCTTCTCACTCTTCAAAATGGAGATAAGAACAGTACCTATTTTATAGGTGCTTATAGGGCCGCTGTGAGTCGGAATCGACTCAGCAGCATTGGGTGCTTAATAAGGATTCTAAGAGTTAATCTATGGAAACTGCTTAGAACAGTGCCTGGCAGAGTAGTTGCTGTATAAGTGCTGGTTGTTGTTACTATAGATGAGTGTCTTGAAAAGCTTGACTGAGAAGGGAAGAAAGAGTTGGTTTTGCTTTTTCTGAATGAAGGAGGGGGAGTCAAGGCAGGGTTTTAAAGAACACGTTTATATGCTTAGAGTAAAAACCTAGGTCAAAGGAATGGTTGAAAGTGTACAAGAGAGAAGTGAGAAGAGATGGTGCAAGATTCCAGAGATGGTGGGCAGGCCTGACGAGGGACTTCTGAGTCACTGAGGCGAGGGGTAGGGATGGATTCTAATAAATACCAGTTTATTGGGAGTGGTCTGATGGCTTTGATTTTTGTCCGTTAAAGTAAGAGTGCAGATTATATGAGGAACCAGGGAATTGATGGGTGTGGAATGGGGGTGAGTGGAGGAGAATGGTGAATACTTGGGAAACCCAAGGGAAATGGGACAAATTTGACCGTGGACAAGTATCCAGAGTCTTTTGCTTTGCAAACCTAAGTATCACAAGATTGTCCTTCTTCGCATCTCTTCATGGTAGAGATTACATGGCATGTAAGTATTTTAAACTGAAAGCAGGTTGCCTTTATTTTCTAAAAAAAAACTTTACACGCATGAGATAACTTGAAACAAATCAGGTTGTTCAAAACCAGTCGTGGGACTCGTTGAATTAACCGTCTTAACTCAGAAGAAGATACAACGTAATAAAAACTAAACAAAATCTCAAAAACCGAAAAAGGGTGGAAATGATTAGGCTTGTGATTAAAAGGTTTTATTTCTGATTCTTTGTGTTATTTCACTAACATGGTATCTTTAGTTTTTAACAAGATGCAAAAATTGCTATGAATTATTTACCCCTGCCCAAGAAACCATGACTTTTAAGTGTAGGAAATAATTTTAGAAATTGTTAACAAGGAAAATTCTGTTTCTCATAGTTTGGGTAATTTGGACTTGGGGTAAGCAACAATTACAACTTCTTTTTTATATTTTAACAGTGATCCTTATGTGAGAGTGACGTTATATGACCCAATGAATGGAGTTTTTACATGTGTGCAGACGAAAACCATTAAAAAGGTTAGACTTGGCAGTATTTAACATTTCTTTTAATGTACTTTGTTTTATTTTAAATGATGAAATATAAAAAAAATAGTTATATTATGTTTATTATCTTTTAGACTTTGAATCCAAAGTGGAATGAAGAAATATTATTCAGAGTAAGTATGCATTTTATTTCATTAAAACAATAAAAATATTTTTTATGAATATGTTAGAATTATAAGTTCTCACTTACTACTAAAATGTATCTGATAAGAATTTGCCTTAATTCTTAAAAAATTTAAAAAGAGTTAAACTAAGTATCCCTATGATGACATGATCCTGGAACAATTTATCTTATGAAAAATATAAATGTAAGGTAATGGAGAGGTAAAAGATCATCGTAAAACTGGCATATTCTTATTCTTATAAGCATAACTGATTTAGAGACTGTATAATGATCATATTCCAGTTTAGCAGATTTTGGTGTGTTTTCCTTTAAAGATGATGTAGTATGAACATCTACCTAACTGTTTATCAAATAGACTGGCCCAGGTAAGAGATGATGTTGTTGTTAGGTGCCATCGAGTCGGTTCTGACTCATAGCAACCCTACGTATGACAGAAGGAAACACTGCCCAGTCCTGCGACATCCTTACAGTCATTGTTATGCTTGAGCCCATTGTTGCAGCCACTGTGTCAACTCATCTTGTTGAGAGTCTTCCTATTTTTTGCTGACCCTCTGCTTTACCAAGCATGATGTCCTTCTCCAGGGACTGGTCCCTCCTGATGACATGTCTGAAGTATGAGATGATAAGGGCATGTCAATAAGTAGATGCATTTCTTCATATAAATCCTTTGCTCCCATTCTCACTGACACCTAAGAGCACACTCCACCCAGCAGTTATTTCAGACTACTTGGAAGGGCCCTCAAACTGCAGGTCTCCTTGTTCCTGTCTAATTCCAGAGTCTTTACTGAAGCCACCACCTTCTCAGCAATGGTAGATTGTTGTTTTCGTTAGCTGTTGTCAAGTTGGCCCCCAACTCGTGATGACCCCATGCAAAACAGAACAAAATGCCACCAGCCATCCCCATGATCAGCTGCAGATCAGACCATTGTGGTCCATGGGGTTTTCCTTGGCTGATAGTCAGAAGTAGATCACCAGGCCTTTTTTCCTAGTCTGTCTTAGTCTGAAAGTTCCACTGAAACCTGTTCAGCATCATAGCAGCACACGAACCTACACGGACAGATGGTGGCTGCGCAGGAGGTGCGTTGGCCGGGAACCAAACCCAGGTTTCTCCCATGGAACGCGAGAATTCTTCTCTTCTTGTCTGCAAGGTTATTCCCATTTGTATATCCATCCTTAAAATGTTCTTCCTTCAACCCACTTTTCCCTTGAGTTTTTAACTCATATCTCTGTCCACCTGAATAACCAGCATTCATGAAGGAGTTGTCTGCTCCCTCATTTCCACTTCGATATACTCGTTAACCCCCCTCATGTAACTCACACCCCTATCGTGCAAACGAAACTGCTTGCCAAGTTCAGTCCCCGTTGTTTTCGGATGAGACGTTTGAATCCAAACTTGTGTTTTCACTCTGAGTTTGTAATCAGGTGTCAAGTGTCTGAGTTTACTCCAGTCCATGTGTCTCACTGAGTGACTGGGAGGCTTTGCATTGTGTGTTTTTATGCTTAAACAGATTCTTGAAGTTAAGAAAAACCTTTAAATCTGTGTCAAATTTGTTACTAAAGAATTTTAAGGAAGGAGATCTTTCTTGGAAACTGGGAACAACCCACATTGCTTACTCTTTTTTCCTTCCTGTTTTTTATTGAGGTGAAAATCACATACAATTAACCATTTTAAAGTGTAGAGTTTAGCCACCACCTTTCTCTAGTCTCCAAACGTCAGAGCACTCCAGAAGGACACCCCGCCCCCTACCCGTCAAGGAATCACTCCCCAGGTCCTGCCTTGTCTCCTGGCGACCACAAAAATACTTTCTGTCTCTGGGTTTGCCTAGTCTGGATATTTCATATGAAAGAAATCATACAACATGTGACCTTTTATGTCTGGCTTCTTTCATTTAGCAGAATGCTTTCAAGGCGCACCCAAGTTGTGGTATGTATTGGCACTTCATTCCTTGTTATTCGGTTGTATGGCTATACCACAATTTGTGTATCCATTCATTTATGTACATTAGGGTTGTTTTGGCTATTGTGAATACTGCTACTAGAAATATTAGTGTGCAAGTATCTATTTGAATCCCTGCTTTCAGTTCTTTTGGGTAACTACCCAGGAGTGAAATTGCTGGGTCATATAGTAATTCTGTGTTTTAGTTTTGAGGAACCATACATCCGTTTTCCACAGTGTCTATATCATTTTACATTCCCACCAGCAATTTACAAGTATTCTAATTTCTCCACATCCTTGCCAGCATTTGTTGTTGTTGTTCTTCTTCTTCTTATTATTATAGCCGTCCTGGTGGATCTGGAGTTATATCTCATTGTAACTTTGGTTTGCATTTCCTTGATGTTGAACATCTTTCCATGTGCTTGTTGGCCATTTGTACATCTTCTTTAGAGAAATGTCCATAAAATCCCTTGCTCATTTTTTAAATTGAGTTGGCTGTCTTTTGATTATTGAGTTGTAAGTGTTCTTTATATATTCTGGATATTAAATTTTTATCAGATCTACTATTTGCAAATATTTTCTCTCATTTTATAGGTTGTCTTTTTGCATTCTTGGTAATGTCTGTTGATGTACAAAAGTTAATTTTTTTGCAGTTCAATTTACCTACTTTTTATTTTGTTTCTTGTGCCTTTGGTGTCAAATCTAAGAAACCATCACTGATTTCAAGGTGATGAAGATTTACTCCTAAGTTTTCTTCTAAGAGTTTTATGGTTTTAGCTCTTACATTTAGGTTATTGATCCATGTGAGTTAATTTTTCTATATGGAGTGAGGAGGGGTCCAACTTCATTCTTTCATATGTAGAGATCCAGTTGTCCCAGCACTCTTTGTTGAAGAGACTATTCTTTCTCCATTCAGTGGTCTTGGCATACCTATCAAGAATCAGTCGATGGCCATAAATGTTTGGGTTTATTTCTGGACTCTCAGTTATATTTCATTGGTCTATGTGCCTTTCCTTAGGCCAGGACCATACTCTTTTGATAACTGTGGTTTATAGTAAGTTTTGAAATTGGGAAGTATGAGTCCTCCAGCTTTGTTCTTTATATATATATTTATATATATTTGACTGTATAGGACCCCTTGCATTTCTTCTCAAAAGGACATTGTGGCTTTGATAAGGATTGCCTTAAACCACTTTTGGGAGTACTGTCATTGTAACAATATTAAGTTTTTCAACCCATAAATGTGGCATGTTTTTTTATTTAATTAGGTCCTTTTTAATTTTTTTAGTAATGTTTTGTAGTTTTCAATGTACAAGTCTTTCGCCTTCTTGATTAAATTTATTCCTAGATATTATTTTTTTGCTACTATTGTAAATAGCATTGTTTTCTTAATTTCCTTTTCAGATTATTTATTGTTGGTATATAGAAACACAGTGGATTTTTGTGTGTTGATCTTGTAGCCTGCAACTTTGCAGAATTTATTAGCACTAGTAATTTTTTTGTGATTTCTTTAGAATTTTTTACGTGTAGAATCATGTCATTTGCAAGTAGAGATATACTTCCTTTTTATTTTGGGTGGCTTTTGCTTATTTTTGTTGCCTAAGTGCTCTGGCTAGGACTTCCAGTACAATGTTTAATAGCAATGGCAAAAGTGAGTAAACTTAAAGGGAAGACAATACATAATATAGGGGAAGTCAGCACAACTTGACCAAGGCAAAGGAAGACACTTAGAGAAACACAAGGAAAAAAAAAGCAACCACAGTAGATACTACAGCATATATAACCCTACTGTGCTATAGTATTTACTGTAGGGTTGTATATGCTATACAACCCCATGAAGTCCTGGTGGTGCGGTGGTTAAGAGCTACAACGAGATACAGCTGCTAACCAAAAGGTCGGTAGGTCAAATCTACCAGCCGCTCCTTGGAAACCCTGTGGGGCAGTTTTACTCTGTCCTATAGGGTCGCTATGAGTTGGAATTGAATCGACGGCAACAATTTTGGTTTTGGTATACAATCCTACAACAACAGTAAAAAATAATAATAGCTTATAAGCAGATACATATGCTGAATAGGGGAAGGAGAGCATATAGGAGTATACCCACCTACATATATAGGTTAGGCTGTGGATATTTTTATATACATATTTGTATGTACAGAATGTATATTCATATCTATAATAGAGCACAAAGGGGACACAGTCATAGACGCTTCCTAGACAAATCAAAACGCCTTGAGGGACGAAGTTACTGGGACTGAGGGCCGGGGACCATAGTCTCGAGGGATATCTAGGTCACTTGGCATAACACAGTTCATAAAATGTTCTACATCCTACTTTGGTGAGTCATATCTGGGGTCTTAAAAGCTTGCAAGTGGCCATCTAAGATACATCTATTGGTACTATTTCATCTGCAGCAAAGGAGAATGAAGAAAACCAAAGACACAAGGAAAATATTGGTCCAGAGGACTAACGGACCGCATGAACCACAGCCTCCACCAGCCTAAGCTCAGAAGAACTAGATAGTGCCTGGCTACCACCACTGACAACTCTAACACGGATCACAATAGAGGGTTCTGGACAGAGCGGGAGAAAAATGTAGAACAAAATTCAAATCCACAAAAAAAACCAGACTTACTGGTCTGACAGAGACTGGAGGACCCTTCAAGACTGTGGCCCCTGACACCTTTCTAACTCAGAACTGAATTCACTCCTGAAGTCCACCTTTCAGCCAAAGATTGGACAGGTCTATAATACAAATAATAACACATGTGAGGAATGTGCTTCTTAGATCAATCAAGTATACAAGACCAAATGGATAACACCTGCCCAAAAGCAAAGTTGCGAAGTCAGGAAGGGACAGGAAAACTGGATGAATGGGAGTTGGAAACCCAGGGTAGAAGGGGGAGATTGCTGATACATCGCAGGGATTGCAACCAATGTCATGAAACAATTTGTGTATAAATCTTTGAATTAGAATCTAATTTACCGTGTAAACTTTTACCTAAATCACACACACACATAACGCAAGAAATGGCATACTTTTCTTCTTCCTGATCTTAAGGAGAAATCTTTCATTCTTTCGCCATTGGGTATGATGTTAGCTGTGGGTTTTCCATAAATGTCCTTTATTATGTTAAGGAAGTTCCCTTCTATTCCTAGTTTGCTGGGTGTTTTTGTCTGAATTTTGTCAAATGCTTTTTCTTTGTCTGTTGTATTCCTGGGGTAAGTCCTACTTTGTCATCGGTTACCATTTTTCTAACCTTGTTTTATGCATGCTCTTAGCAGCATTTGACGTAGCTGACTTTTCCTAAACGCTTGCTGCTTTGGAGGCTTCTATGTTCCCGCACTTGATTCAGTCAGGAAAATAGAAGCCACTGTACTGTATTCCATGTTTGAACGGCTTTTTTTCTTTTAATGAAGTGAATTGAAAGTTTATGTAGTCATTATTAGGGAAGCTATTGCTGGAGGTCTTGCCAACAGCATCTACCAGGGTTTTTCTTGTTTAGAGAAGGATCTCATCACTCTATTTGCTATGGCATAAAAACAGCATTTTAAATCATTTTGGAAATTTTAGATTATTGAGGAAATAGTATTGAGTCAATTGGATAGTCACATGGAGAAAAATGAAGCTAAACCTGTCTTACTTCTTTTACCAGAATAAATTCCATATTTGACATCATCTGGTTTTGATTGCTTTTTTGGCACAAGTATTACTTAGGAAAGTTTTTAAATTCCCAAGTGGTTGGGTTTTTTACTTATTTATACTTTTATTATTATTTTACTGCATTTTTTTCAGATACATGTTTTCAGTGTGTTGAAGCTTTCTTTATATGTGTTTGCTCTCTTTTCTGATTACATTGGCTTACACATGTCAAATAATGTTTAATGGTAGTAGTGATGGACATGTATTTGTCTTGTTCCTAATTTTAATGGGAATGCATCTAACATTTCTCTATTAAGCATGAATAGCTTTTATTATTTATCTTATTAAAGAGGTTTTCAGCTATTGCTATGTTTTCAAGAGTTAAAAAGTAATATTGACACTTCCAGTTTCAGCCATGATGGAGAAACAGGGTGTTGGTCTTAACTGATGCTGTAAACAACTATAAAGCTGGAACAAAATCTATGAACCAACTGTTTCAGGCACAGGGCTGACAGAGGGAAAAACACAAGATGAGCTGCACATCCCATTGTTGTGACTCAGGAAGGTGGAGCCTAAAGTGTGAACAGTGATTTTTTTGGTAAGATGTAGAGATCAGAAATCAGGACAACTGAGTTGGCTGGAATTTATGAGGCATGTTACTAGAGAGGAAGGAGCTGCATAGAGAAGGAGCCCTGGAAATCTTCATTAGTGTCCCCTTGAGTCTTTGGCTGAATACTAAGCTGCATATATGCAGGACAGGATCCCAAAATGCTTGGCTAAGAATAACTACCAGTAGGCCATGAACTGGATGGAAATTCTGGAAGTTTCACAGTGGTGGGAGACTTCAGCATTCCAACCAACGAGAGCAGGGAGACCTCACCAAACACTCAAAGCATTCAACTGGGGACAGAAAAAGGCTACATCTTAGGAGGAGGTCTTCTTTAGGCATGAAGTAAAGGCTATTCTAGAAGCCCATTACACATCTGTCAGTTTGTTGTTTTTTGGTGGCTTGCATGTCGCTATGATGCGAAGGCTGTGCTGCCAGTTTTTCAAATACCAGCAGGCTCACCCATGGTGGATAGGTTTCAGCAGAACTTCCAGATGAAGATAGAGTAGGAAGAAAAGCTTAGCATTCTACTTCCAAAAATTAGCCAATGAAAACCCTATGAATCACAAAGAATATTGTTATTAGTATAGTGCCAGAAGATGAACCCCCTAGGTCAGAAGGCACTCAAAATACACAGTGTCTATAACAATGAACTCAAGCAAACCAACAGTCATGAAGATGGCATAGGACCAGGCAATGTTTTGTTCTGTTTTACATGAGGTCTCCGTGAGTCTGAGC